TTACTTTAAATGAATTGTAATCAACCACAAACTAATTAAAGCATTTAAAGCTCTCTCGCTATGATGCTACACTACACTGATTGATTTGTCGTATGGAAGCTGCTGCAGTTTCTGGAATTTAGATTTTTGCACTGTTCCAGTTGTTAATTGCTAACAAGCTTTGTATTTCATACACTAAAATAGGCTCAAGTTACTTTGCATTGAAGCCACAGTGCAGCTTATTTATGGTACAGTTTCGCTTAACAACCAAAATTTGATCCCTCATTGTGAAATCCGGTGCATGAAAGCCTCTGTCGTGATACGTATCTATTACGCAAGGATACAGTAGAGATAACATTCATAATTTATGGGAATGATCCTCTCTGAAAAATGAGACCCCAAAGCTGCGGAGGTCTTCACTATGACGGCCAAGCTGCTTTGACTTCCCTAAATCGTCAGAATGCACGATCTGTCAGAGTAGGTAGTGACATGTTAAGTACTTTATATAACTTACTGTATTTATGTAACCTCCTGGAAGAATCGGTGTAATAACAGGAATCAAGATTTATGACAAACGTATTTCTTTATTTTACTTTATTCATGTGAAACCCACAGCTGTTCTACCAATGTGATGTCAATTATTCATTATTTTCTTTAAGAGCAGCTGCTCTAATGGTCGGACTTAAAAAATGTCATAAAAATAATAAAACCTTAAAACACATGTACTGTTATAAAACTGTAAATGGACTGGTTCTTATATAACACTTTTCTACTCTAAGCTTTCTCACAAGCGCTCCTTTTTTCCATACTTTTTCAACATAAGTGCATTAAATTTATAACTCATACATATTCATACGCTGATGGATGAATCAGAGAGCAGTTTGGGATTAGTATCTTGCCCAAGAATATTCAGACTGGAACAGCCAGGAATCGAACCGCCAACCTTCCGATTAGTAGATGAGCTGCTTACCTGTAAAACGAATCCCATAAAGACTAAAATTCTAAACCTGGTAATGTTTTTGTAGCATTTTGCTCTGTATTAAAGTGCTTTACTCAATAAATTTTAACATTGAAATTAGGGCTGCCACAAACGATTATTTTGATAGTCGACT